ACGTGTGTATTTACTTTATATTTCAATAAATAGTGAAATAGGCCAATGTCCTCGCAAAGTGTGTATTTATTGCCTATTATAATAAATAGATAAGAAAGGCTGATGTCCCCGCAAAGTGTGTATTTTCTTTTGACTGAAAAAGTAGATGTTAAAGGCCAATTTTCCCATTACGTGTGTATTTACATTATATTCCAGTAAATAGTGATTAGGCCAATGTCCTTGCAAACTGTGTATTTTCTTTTGACTGAAAAAGTAGATGTTAAAGGCCAATTTTCCCATTACGTGTGTATTTACATTATATTCCAGTAAATAGTGATTAGGTCAATGTCCTTGCAAACTGTGTATTTTCTTTTGACTGAAAAAGTAGATGTTAAAGGCCAATTTTCCCATTACGTGTGTATTTACATTATATTCCAGTAAATAGTGATTAGGCCAATGTCCTTGCAAACTGTGTATTTTCTTTTGACTGAAAAAGTAGATGTTAAAGGCTAATGTCCCCAGTACGTGTGTATTTACTTTATATTCCAATAAATAGTGAAATAGGCCAATGTCCTCGCAAAGGGTGTATTTATTGCCTATTATAATAAATAGATACGAAAGGCTGATGTCCCCGCAAAGTGTGTATTCTCTTTTGACTGAAAAAAAGATGTTAAAGGCTAACGTCCCCATTACGTGTGTATTTATTTTATATTTCAATAAATAGTGAAATAGGCCAATGTCCTCGCAACGTGTGTATTTATTGCCTATTATAATAAATAGATAAGAAAGGCTGATGTCCCCGCAAAGTGTGTATTCTCTTTTGACTGAAAAAAAGATGTTAAAGGCTAATGTCCCCACTACGTGTGTATTTACTTTATATTCCAATAAATAGTGAAATAGGCCAATGTCCCCGCAAAGTTTGTATTTATTGCCTATTATGATAAATAGATAAGGAAGGCTGATGTCCCCGCAAAGTGTGTATTTTCTTTTGACTGCAAAAAAGATGTTAAAGGCTAACGTCCCCATTACGTGTGTATTTACTTTATATTTCAATAAATAGTGAAATAGGCCAATGTCCTCGCAACGTGTGTATTTATTGCCTATTATAATAAATAGATAAGAAAGGCTGATGTCCCTGCAAAGTGTGTATTTTCTTTTGACTGAAAAAGTAGATGTTAAAGGCCAATTTTCCCATCAAGTGCCTTGAAAGTTCGGAAAGTTCGAAAAATTGATGTTTTCTTCCAGAAAATCTTTACCGCAACCTGAAGATCTGGCAATATCTCGTGTCGTCTGGTAAATAACTTTGCTTTTGTATAGAGGGTCCACGCACTCCGTGATCTCCTCCAAAACGTCTCTAAATTTAGCTCTTCGGGCTTAAAACCTTTCAGAGCAACATCTTTAGACCACTAACGGGTCTCCCAAGTCTGTAGAATTCTCCATTTGCATTTTGTGCTCACCCCCACCAAAACACCCAATCTTTTACCCTTTGTCCAATAAAGTCCAGCCAATTTTGATGAAGATATCTGTCTAGAACACCTTGCCCCTTTTAAAAGAAAGGCATCCGAGTTAAGAAAGGGAATGAAAGAACGGATATTTTGAATTTTATATTCCCTCGTAAAAACTTTTTTTAGAAAATTAAGGGCAAGGGTGGATGGGCCTGGGATACGATACATTCCGTGCCAGTCCGCCACTGATACTGACCTTGCCTGTCTGACCTGCACTGCTGAGAATTCTTTTTCAGGTCTAAAGGCTGGGTTACACGATCACTTTTTACCATCACTTTGTTCGATATTGGACCAACATGCTAAAATGTGATCGTGTAACATACTAAAATTGTCAATGTTCTCTGCAGAATTCAATGCGCCAGGTGCAGAATAAAATCGAGTTCATCACTTTTTTCAAAGGCGCCGACAAATTCTTACGTCACATAATGTTTTGATGAGAAGGAAACGGCCTAGAGTTTCGAGAAAAGAAGAAAAAGACGTGTATTGTACTCAGAAACATAATTATTAGCAGAAAACGAATAGGAATAATGATTTTGAGTAGATCGAAGAGCAGCACCTTGCAGAAAAATAAATGCAGTTTAATAAAATGCACTCATTGTTTATAAGAAACCCACTATAAGAAACCATTACTTGAAAATGAGAGGCATATCACTGAAAAAAATCTCGTTTGTGATAAAATCACAAAAAGTCTCAAATAAATCAGTAAAATCACGCAAAAACTCGCAAAAATCACTCGAAACCACACAAAATCACAGAAATATTGAGATGGATCACAAAAAATCTCTTACACTTTTTCAGGAGTAATATGCCCCTCGCCTTTTGTCTATAAATTCCAAAGTTTCAGTTGTTTTTTCAAGACATGCTTTGCCAAAACAAATGAACAAGTTGTTTCTTATTCAGAATATTAAGTGGGAACTGTTTAAATTTAGAATGAAGTTTCCAATAGAGATACTACAATTTTGCTACAGAAGATTTAATATAATTAAAAAAATTGAAACAAATTGTAAAAATATAATTTCCAAAAAAAAAAAAATTTTCAAATCATATACAGGAGTTCTTTCAATCTGTAAAAGAAGTAAATTTTTATCAAATTTTCTGCGCGTGAAGCAAGATACAATACAAAATGAGGCAATTCATGCTTAGGTGGAAGATGCAGAAGAGAAAGGGGAGTACCACACAAAAGCTTCAATTGTAGCAGGCAAGAGGAAAATCTTTTTGTAGAAAAGCTCCTGCTCTCCTTTGGCAATACATAAATCGCTGATATCAAGCAAAACAGATCAAATATCAATTTCCAGATTCTCACTTATCATTGACAAGGGGTCTTACTTTGATATATATTACCAATATTCTGTACAGACAGCAGGAACAACAGGAAATGTTGATATATGAAAAAGGTGATAAACTAAAAAGAATATTAGTTTTCCAAAAGAGCCAATCAAGGAAATTACCAATCTTTGGTGCCTCATACTATTAAAATTCGAAAAAGTTGGATCAATATTTATATAAAGTTGGATCAATACATATAAATGAACGTTTCTAACCTCGATTATTTCAAAATTGACCTGAATTTCTTCAGGGAGGGCGGCAAACATGACTTGACTATCATCATTGATGATAGTGCCATCCTCAAGAGCCATGTCTACCATGGCTCCCTGAAGTCTAAGCGCTTTTTTTCCTAGAGAAAAATGAAAATGTTGAGTTTATGCCTAAATTTCTGCTGCTTAACATGAGAGGCATACCACTTTTCTTAAAAAGTTTACGAGATTTCATAAAGCAATAGGATTATTGGGGATTATTCACGGGTTTTTCTTGATAACCAACCAAAGGATTTCTCCCAAAGGTTTACAAAATTTCTACGGAGTGATATGCCCCTTGGCTTACCATGCATTCTGCAAAAAGGGCCTTTAACTTATTCCAACAAACTATAATACAAATTGAATAAACTAACGCGTTTGTCAAACATTTGGATGCATTTTCTATCTTATTGACTGACAGTGAAAAAACATAGGTAAAATGGAAAAAATGCTCTGTTAACTGCCAACTGGAACCAAGGCCCTGAGGTTATTATATTTTCCTTGCTTAATCCTTCTGAATTAAATCCTAGTCAGATGGGGATGAGTGTCAATACACTCATTTTTATAAGAAACGGTAGGCTCAATTTTGTGAAAGTTGAGAAACAACCCTACCCAAATTGAAAAAAGCTAAGAAACTTTTATGATTAGCATTTTTTTCCAAGTTGACACTCGAAACAGTCTTGAAATTGAACATCACTGTATATTGCAACTCTACACTTGACATGTAGTTTGCATTCATTCTCAGCAAATTGCAAACTTCAGAAGTTTCCATTAAAAAATTTGTTTTGACTTCAACTTGACAGCGATGAAGTTCAATGAGCTTAACTGTTTACAGATCTCATCAGAGTTAGTGATGCTAGGAAAAAAAATTCTTTGGTCATTTTTTCTTAGTTTATCTTTGAATGTGAGTGAACTATTACTTTGGAAGCACGTTTACTTTACTTTGGAAGCACGCTTAAAAAATTCATTACCCATGAAATTTAAGAATCAAGTAAGAAACTTTTGATAGCAAAATAGCCAGAAAATTTAAGAAACTGCCTAAGAGCACGGTACCTTTGTTTCATATAAAAAATACGTGCACCTAGGTATGAAAGTTTTTCTACAAATTTTCCTGTTTTGAACTTGAATCAGATTAATAAACATATCAACCCATTAATGTTATGTACCAGATCAAAATCAATAATCCAAGTTCATATAGCGGGTAAAAGAATACTTCATATAGTTCAACAGCTCTCACCTTCCTCCCTCAGCTCCTCTACACTGTCTGCCTCCACCAGGGCAGTGACCCTCCTACTTCCTCCCTTGTTTGAGAAGCATACCCAAATCCAAGTCATCTGAGAAAAAAGAGGCTCATCATTCACAAGCAACGAAATTATAGAAAGAAGGTATAGCGAACATGAAATTAACCCAGAATAGTAATCTTTTGCAATGAAGAGCGATTCAGCAGTTTTTTGTGGCAGTAAACGTCTTACCTCTATCACGTTTAGTTCGAACTAAAGCAAGTTTCGATTCGACCACCTCCACAGTCTTAACAAATGAAGTGTCAATTAACCTGTTGTTTTTTGAGCGCCAAAAGCTAAGACTCAAGCAAAGACACGTGAATGAGTCTACATCCTGTCGACTTTGTCACACCTCATCAGAATGACCTGATGGCTGTTTCAATTCAATGTAAATTTGTAGAATTTGAACTGAAATTACGCTTCCACTTATAGTATAGTCACAACTTTGCTATAAACTTGCATGTTTGCCACCCACAATAGTGAGAGTTACAAA